AGCCTTGTTTGCAGCCAGTGCTTTTTGATGCCTCCAGAGCTGCCAATTAGCCATGCATCTTGAATAACTACTGTCATTGCACCTCATCGCTGCTTTTAAAACTCCCAAGAACTAATTAAGTCAGAACTTTCACCTTTATTTGGTGCAACCCTCACTCATTACTATGCCAACACAAACACCTCATTTCTCAATTTATTTAAAGATAGTAATGGAAGTGCAGCGCATTTCTATGCATTTTACTCAGAGGTAATTTTCACAGAAGGCAACCAATAGCTGGTGTATTGATTAGGTGTAAATTCCATCTACTTCATCAGATGGTTTTGAGAGACCATGTACACAGGACAAGATCCTTGTAGGAAGGACAGAATTGGGAAGTAATAAATAAATGTGGTAGCCGCTAAAAGCAAACACAAACACTTATATGCAATACCGGTACGCCATAGAGAAGGAATTTCAATGGTTATTTATTTATTTAAAACATTTCTATGCTGCCCCCATCGCAACAAATCCTCGGGGCAGCTCACAACATCCATAAAAATACAATATACCACAATCAATAATTTAAAAACTGGTACCATCTTGGCTATGTATTAAAATCTATAAATACAATAATAATAAATTAACAGTTAAAATAACTTTTAAATAAAAAGGTCTTCACCTGGGGCAGAAAAGCAAATAATGACGGTGCCAGGTGGACCTCTCTGGGGAGTGCATTCCATCGGTGGGGCACCACCGCATAAAAGGCCCTCCTCCAGGTACTCACCCTCCTAATATCCTTCACGGAGGGTTCCTGGAGAAGGGCATCCACTGCCGATCGTAGGGGGTGGGCGGCCATATATGGACGCAGATGTTCCTTTAGATAACCAGGTCCCAAGCCGTTATGCTGTTTCATGCAACATGAGAGTCAGTTTACAACCAGTTGGAAATCCAGGGTGGCAGTAGAAGAATAAGACAGTGCTACATTATTGGAAGATTACAAATGTAACAGATGCATCTTAATCAGTTTCTGTATGGCCAGCTCTTTTTCATCTGCATTTGGGGCAGCTGTATGGGATCACTCTCTTTGGTGCCACCAGCTTTTCAGTTTGGAAGCACAGGAGCTAATAGTTGTGCTGGCACAGTATCATAGCCAGAGAGTTTTAGATCATACCCTGAATTTGATGTTAATAGCGGTGGTCACTTTACAAGCCTTAAGAGTTTATTTCAGGGCTGACATTTTTCAGCTTTCGTTCTTGAAAACACACATGGAAAGTTATTTCTCTTCAGCCATCTTCCCAAGGGCTCCCGAAAACCTGGAGCCAGCACTGACAAGGAGAGCTCTAAATATATATAGTTCCAGGTCGCCACCAGTGTCTGCTCTCAGTTGAATGTTACATTGGCATCTTCTGGTTTTAGAATGGTTCTGTTGCTATCTTCTTGTGTTTTTAGTATTCACTGATTTATTCTTACATTTATATCCCACTTTTCCCCCTCCAAGGTGACTTCTATGTTCTTCTCCCCCCTCCCCATTTTATCCTCACAACAGCTTTTGTGGGGAAAGTTTGGTTGAGATTCAGGGGCCGGACCAAAGTTACCCAGTGAGCTTCACGGCCAAGTGGAGGCTAGAAACAGTTCCCCCAAATCCCAGTCCATCACTCCTAGGTCACTCTTAGGACCATGCTACAATGGCTCTCTTTTTATTACTGCATTGGATTATTGTGTGTTTCAGTGTTGTTTGCTGTATGCAGGGTGGGGGGTGGGGAACCATGCAATAATTTTTAAGATGATGAAAACTGAATATGAGCATGATGAGGATCCTACCCAGACCCTGCCATTTTTATTTCAAGACACTCAGAAAGCATGAGAGGAACAGGGTGGCAGCTTCTGAATGTCCAAAGAGGAGGGCATGCATCACAAACAAAAAAGGACAGCTGTCTTCATGAAATTTGGATCTGCTAGTTTATATCTATAAATTCAAATTTTAAGATAATCACTGTAATTTGATAGATAGCACAGGGTGGAGGATGGTGACTTTGCACATCTTGCGGTCTCCAGAATATTTATGCCCAGCTTCTGTAGCCTTTAGCCTCAGAATGTCATTAACTTGGATTGGGCAGTGCTTCAAACAGAGCACTGTCATCCGTGCAAGAGGACACATGCCCACCTTAGTGGGAATGGCTTTTATACATTCAGCCCCTCTGGGAATCCATCGAAAACATGCTTCGCCAGCCATTAGCTTCAGAATGTCATTAACTTTACTTGGCTTCCTTTGTGCTGTGGTGTCTACTGTAGCAAGTGTTTGGGGGAAGAAGCCATTGCCTTGATCACAGTAGACTACAGAGCAGGTCTGTACTCAATTCCCCCCCACCCCCACCCCCATGTTTTTATACCGTGTAATAGTTTCATCCCCAAATCTCATTTGCTTTGGCGTTAGTGGCAGCTGTCTGCTCCTGATAAAATGTACACTCTTAATTTAGTGCAGAAGGAACATCGAGTTCAGGCTTCCAGCTGCATCAGATTAAAATGATTTCACTTAACCTCTGGGCTGTTCTTCTATGGAAGATGTATTAAAATTACAAAGACAATTAAGGGAACAGTTACAGGGGTGGAGTTTTTTTATGTTATATGTGCTTTTAAATTTCAGACTGGCCAGCATCCTGTGACTACGCAAAACTCTAAGATCCTTTAGTGCCCATGAAGTTCTTACACAGGCAGTTGCCTTTTCCTTGAAGGTGTCAGTCATGGCAACATGTTCACTAGCTGACATCAGCCTGGATTACAGTGATAATAAAACAACTTGAATGCTTCAAAAACTGTGGGGCACTTTTATTTTAACCTTAAGTATTATAGATATGGTAGCAGCAGCAATGACATTGATTTGCCAAAGTACTGGAATTGACTTGATCTCGGAACATCCACATTCACAGCTGGGTGGGGAGTATATTCATAGGGCTGGGAGAGCCATGCATCTATTCCAATCTTGTATTGCTTCAGGCACAATCCTATTTTGTAGGACTTTTAAAAATTATCTAGCTATGCATAGGATTGCACCTTTAATGTTCAGGTGAGGGTGTTCAAGGATAGGCTGGACATGCACATGGTGGGCATGTCGTGAGGGAGCCGGCTGGAGCCGGGGGGTCAGACTAGATGGCCCGGGAGACCCCGTCTGACTCACTCTGTTTCTATGTTTCTATGTTCAAATGCTTTTGTACTTTACTTTGAACTAAATAGCTTTAGCCAAAAGCCTTGGGGTGAATTATGTTAAACATGTTGCTATGAAAGCATGGATTGTTGCTATTCCTCTTCACACTATGTGATTTAGGAATGTGATGAAAATGTATTCAGCCATCCTTTTGAATGTTTCAGAAATCTTTTTAAAGGGATCATCAACATATTCTTTAACCTTCTGCATCTCAGATTATTTTAAAACAAGTGCTTGTTTTTAGTTTTCCCAAAGAAATCTTGAAAAATAAATTAAGGATTTTTGAGAATGTTCCACACCCTCCTTCCTTGACAGTTGCTCCTGCCTGTTTTCCAAGCAAAATGACTCCTTATCCTTAAAAGATGAAAGAGGGTACCTGGCACAGAGGAGGCCTCAGTAAACCAGAAAAAAACTTTGTTCTCCTATAACCTGTAGCAAATATGTAAATACTAGTAATTTCCTGCTAGGGAGCCCAGGATTCATAGTTTCTTGTGACCTGCCCCCACAAGTTCAATATGAAATGGGAAAAAATCAATGGAATCTATATTTGTTGTCTTACTTTCCACCCGGGACAAGTAATTTCCTCTGCCTTCTGACTTTGGAACACAAAATCTAACTGATGATGGTACACATACTGTAATCTAAGGGCTGATTTGTAATTTGTTCTGCATTCTGATTATGGTGCACATGATTGAGCTGTTGGGGGTTGAAGCTTCAACAGCTGACCAAACACCAATTATCTGAGAGTTGACATTCTCCACCTATTTTAATATAAACTTATCCCTCCCCCGCCACCAAAGCATTGTGTCCACTTATGAAATCTGGAGCTGGGGAGAACCTTGCTTGGTTATCTGTTTATCATGGCTGGTAAGCTTTCATCTTCAAGATTTCATCACACACATGATAGAGTAAGAAACTGATATGTCTCTGTGTGTGTGTGAGAGAGAGAATAAGAAGTCACTTCCTTTGATCAAACTCATGAATGTGGGAAGCAGGATTCTGAATGCTGATCTGATTCCCCATAATAAACCATTTTTCCTGAAGTTTCACTTGGGGTGGCCTCTCATGAATCACCAAAAAAACAAGAAATACGTATATTACCAGAAGGGATGGCAGAGTTGAATAATATTTGCATATGCTCATTTATATGTATAGGTGCAAATTTAGAAATGCTTATAATAAGTCAAATAGAAACACAGGACATCTCACTCTGGGGTAGAAGACTGGGCCCAGGTGACCCATGTGCTGCCCAGATGCCCATCATTGATGGGAGTCAATGTTTATGGTTTTGCATCTTTTAACTGGAATGGGACAGGATAGCCCTTCAAGTATAGGATGCCTCCAAGCTAGATGGGCTTTTGATAGCCTTTCAAATAGAGGACTGTTCTCTATAAAACTGCATACAACTTTATTTTAAGGATTTATATATGTCACCCTTCAGGCAAAATTCCCAGGTCATCTCGCAAAATGTTATGATGCTCTGTGTAATCAGGAAGGTAAAAAGAAAGGGAGGGAGGGAGGGAGGGAGGGAGGGGTAAAGAATAACAGGAATGCTTTGCTGAGTCCTTCTGGCAACATGCCTTGCATGAGATCCAGGCTGGATAACTTTTGGCCCTTCAGAGGTTGTTAGACTCTAGTTTGCACCAGTTCCAGCCAGCATGGCCAATACTCAGGAAGCATGAAAGCTGTAGTCTAAAACATCTGGAGGGCCACAACTTTCCTATTCCTTCATTTGACCTTTGAAGATGGACATTTTTGCAGTCCTTCACCCCACTCACCTCTGCTGTTGTTCATAGAATGTAACTTTTGTTTCCTGTAGGTTACCAAGATGCTGGCTGTGGTGGTGGTCCTGTTTGCATTTTTGTGGATGCCTTACAGGACCCTGGTGGTCATCAATTCTTTTCTGTCTCACCCTTTCCAAGAAAATTGGTTCCTGCTGTTCTGCAGGCTTTGCATCTACCTAAATAGTGCCATCAACCCTGTCATTTACAACCTCATGTCTCAGAAATTCAGAGCAGCCTTCAGAAAACTCTGCAAATGCCAGCAGAAACAGTCAGAGAAACCCACCAACTACAGCATGACCCTCAACTACAGTGTCATCAAGGAGATGGATCATTTCAACACTGAACTAGAGGACACTACTGTCACTGAAGCTTATCTGTCATCCACAAAGGTATCTTTTGATGATGCCTGCGTGTCCTCTGAGGTAAGAATCAGAACAAAAACAATCTATATGTGTATTTCATCTTAAGTTCCTTAGATCAGTGGTAACATTAGGTAATTTTACTTTCTGGGTCTTATGGTGGTTGGGTTGCTCAGTTCCATAGGCGCATTCTGTTCCTTTTGTGGAGTGATTCTTTAGTCCTCTCCTCCAAAGGCCTACCCTGATGGCACCATTGAAAGGGATGTAACCATGAAAGTTTCTGGACAGAAGTAGATAAGGCAACCAGGAAAAAAATAGCCTAGTGTACTTTCATACCTTCGACAGCAGCTTAATCTGTAGAAGTATTTATTACATTTGTAATCCACGTTTCGTCATGACAGAACTCCAAGCTGTCTCTCATCCAAATACTGAAATTGACTCAGGCCTGCTTCTCTTCAGGGAAGTTGCTATATCATAAACCTTCAGACCATCCCTTGGCCTCCTAGGTCAGAGGAGAGTAAACAATGGATGGAAAGAGATGACCCTAGAGGTATAAATATGATTGATTTTTTCCTAACCAAGGAAAAATATTTTCTCTAGGTAGAGGAAAGAGAAAAATTCCATTTTATGTAGTCCCCATCATGTGATTGTAGTTTCCAATGGTAGGAAGGACTGCAATATGCTCTCAATCTCCTTACAGACATTCCTGCTCATTCCAGGTCAGGGGGATATCGTCATGTGCAGTCCCATGGCTGCCCCATGGGTTCAACATCACAGTGTCAGAACAGGATGTCAGCAGCCTCTCCAGACCTGTTGGCCTCCATTATTTCAAAAGAATGGTCTATAAGGATTCACTGCATAACAGTACATGATAGCTGTCTTATAACAGCAATTTATCCAGTGGCAACAGAAACTGCAGCTTTGTTAATGCAATGCATCAGTTCAATAATTCTGTTTTAAAACTATGTCTGGAAGTAGGAATTGACAGGATAGATGTACCTTAGCTTGCTTTTTCATGCTCATACATCTCAGACATGTAAAAGTGATTCATATTCCAATTTCTCATTTCAGGTGATGTGAAGCTGGAGGAAAATGCATCTCCTATTCTGTTCTGCTTCTCTTACTTCATTCCATGTTGCAGAGTTACCCAGTTCTGAACCACTCTGGTTATCTTCAAATAATATATGATGTGCTATAGCTCAGTATTTCAAAGGCTGGATTTGTTCAAACGGCTATACTTCATATTGTTAAATCATGCTTGCTTTATGGAAACAAAGAGGCAAAAGGCTAAAGTACACACTTTCTCATTTGTGTGTTCTAACAATTTCTAAACCATGGACTATACAGAGAGAGCTGCTCAGTTTTACTGGATTATTTTGTGTTGAGTAGTTTTAGGTCTGTAGCCCAAATAGTACATTTTGGGGTGGTATTCCCATAAATCCATTAAAGAGTAGTGGAGATCAAAGATGAGAATTACTTGTCTGGCTCCATTTTATGGTTTACACCAAGATTGGGCTGCTTGTGGTGCTCCAAATGCTTTGTCCTATAACTCCCATCCTTCATAGCCAGCCTAGCCAATTGTGAAGGATCATGGGAGCTGTAAGCCAGACACACATGTTGCATATCCTCCTGCAAGTCCCCCAGGCATTTGTACCTTGGGTCCCTGCAATTGCCTGGTGGCACTGCAGCATGCCTTCCCCCACATTTGAACGGCATGAATCAGATTGGCAAGGCTGGCAGCTTAGCTGCTTCTGTATCACAGGCACCTCACCACAGCAGACAGCAGTTCTGTGCGACTGCAGACCCAGCCCACCCGTTTGCCTTCATTCCATATGGCTGACAGTGACCTTGGAGTGGTCACATGCCAGTGGCTCCATGCCATCAAAGGAAAGCAGGCGGACAAATGTCATCACAGGGAAACAGGTAGACTCCCGCATCATTCTTGTTCATAAATTATCTGTTCTGAGCCACTTTGGCAGCAGTGCAGGACAGGCTACTGCAGGGTAGATCCATTCAAGTCCTGAACCACCATGTTTTCCTTTCTCTGGGAGGTTGTCCAAGGGAGGTTCATAAGTGGGCACCAGCTAGCCCAGAAACATGTGAACAGGAGAATGCCTTTATATCTACTGCTCACTCCGGGTGTTGTTGTTGTTGTCTGATCCTGACCTGGGCCAAGGTTCAGTGGTAGAGCACCTACTTTACCTGCAGAAGGTCCCAGGATCAGTCCCTGAAGATCTCCAGGTATGTCTGGGAACATTCCAGCCTTAAATCCTGGAGACCAGCTGCCTATCAGAGTTGGCTGCACTGGACTAGATAGCAACATGATTTAGCTCAGTATAAGTTTCCTACATTCCTCTCCTGCTGGATCACTTATATTGCAAGCAGGAGAGACGAAAGGACCCAGGGATGTTCCATTTCTGGGTCATTTCGTGATGCATCTGAACACAGGTCTTTCACTTGTCTTTCTCCAAAAAGGAAAAAACCCCTATGGGTTGTTGTATGGTCATAGAAGCATAGAATAGTAGTTGGCTGTCCAGCTGCATCTTGAATGCTTCCCATGTGGGAGAGACTACAACTATCCTAGCTAATTGGTCCCACTGTCTTACTGCTCTAATAGCCAGGAGTTTCTTCCTGATGTTCTACAGGAATCTGGCTTCCTGTAATTTGAGCCTGTTATTCCATGTCCTGCACTCTGGGGTGATGGAGAAGAGATTCTGACCTTCCTCTTAGTTACAGCTTTTCATCTATTTGAAGAGTGCTATCATCTCTCCCCTCAGTCTTCTAGTCTCAAGGCTACACATGCCTCTAAGATCTCTCATTCCCCACATGATCCATAGGTCCAGCCTGTCAGCTTTGCCACCTTTTTCTCTACTCTTGCTTTGGGTACAAAATACATAAACCCCAAATCCGATTGTGAGAAAATGTGGATATTTCATCAGAGTAAGTAAATCAGCTGGAGTGGGGAAAGAGTTTCAACCCAATAGGCCTAAGCTATTTTCACAGAGTGTCCCTGAGCAACTTTTAAAATTGAATGGTACAAGGCATCCTGGATCTCCTATCACCTTGGGTATAATTAGCAAGAAACAAGCATATGATTAAAGATGTATGTCTGTTATTAACTTAATGTCCAATTAAGTATGTACATTTGTCTGTCTATAGTAAGTGCTGAGAAAGGTAGAAAACTATCAGCTACCTCTTTTACAGAAGCACAGAGTTCCTTTTGTTGGCATTCGTTGTTGTTTGAGCCATTTATTTTGTTTTGCACAGGTACAAATATACATGTATATGCATGTCAGCATGTCCAGACAAACACACATACCTACATACACATCCTGTCAAAACCTCGGTTTTAACGGAAAGCTTGAGTTTTGACAGCTGCCATGTTCAGATTTCCTATAAAGGGGGTGGCTGACACTTTTCCACCTTTTTAGCACTTACTGTCTCAAGAAGAGAAGGAAAAAGTACAAGGCACCAAGAAGAGTCGGATCCAGTCAAAACGAAATTTAGAAGGTCTCACTGTGAAGGGAGTGATAAACTGGTTACTCCTTTGTTGGAGCAAAAAACATTCCCAGCTTTGCATTCCATGACAATTGTCAAGGGAAAGCAAAGTTAAAGAATAACTCTATCTGCAACTTTTCTGGATTAATATCCATGGCTGGTGCATGTTACACTTTGACAGCAGACACTTCTTCACAATGAAATGGCATCATGTACTCTGCTATGGTATTTGGCTGTGTACATAGCCAACAGATTATTTATCACACTAACAGTATATGAAAACACAGATATGTTTTTGAAATTTCATAATGTGGAAGTGATGGAAAGACATCTTTGGATGATAAAGTTGGAGGAGACTTTATAGGCCATCTCATCCAAACTCCTGTTCAGGAAATCCAGGCATTCCCAACTGATGATTGGATAGCTTTGACTAGAAGACCCCCCAGAGATGGAAAGTCCATCAGACCTCTGGGTAACTGGTTCATTCTCAAGCCTCAAGAAATTTCATTTGATGTTGAGCCAAAATCTAATCCTACCACCAGCAATTTAAGCCCTAAGGTGGTTGTTTATGGTTGACCAAAATTATTAATTTCGTTTCTATACCACCCCATTGCTGAAGCTCTCTGGGCAGTTTGAAAAGAGAACAAATGAGAATGCTGATTTGTATAAAATTGACATATGGTAATTTATAGAGAGATGCAACACTTGGAATTATTATAATTCATAACAATTATTGTATTGTTATAAAGTATGATGCTATAACTTTACTATGCATAATTAATTATTATTTTATGAGTAAAGTGCATCTCACCACAGGGTAGAAGATGATGATGTGACCAGTGCCCCTCACTCAGTCTATTGTCTGGGTATTGTTGAGGGTGGCTTCTAGTTTCAACTCTTCCTGTTGATGGTTCTTTCTCTTTAAATGAGGTTTGGACCAGACCAGACAGTCTTCAATCAGAGCAAGCCTTCAGTACAGAGGACGGTCTCTGGCCACCCTCCAAATAGAGGCTATGCCTCTGTAGAACAGACCATATAGTTCCCTGCCTTTTCTTTCTGCCAAGCCTTCAACCACCATCTCCCGTTTTCCAGCATTCTGCTTTTAGGAACAAACCGTAGGAACAGAAGACGCTGCCTTGGTCTGTCTAGTTCAGTTCTGTCAACACTGACTGGCAGAGGCACTCCAGGGTTTCAGGCAGAGATTTTTCTAGCTGACGATGCTGGGGATTGAACCCGGGAATGTGTGCATGCGACTAATGACCCCCGCCATCAGGTTGCTGTTGTAAAAAATGATTGGGTACAGCAGGTTTCAAATGGCTTCAAATAAGAATACTAATTCATTCTGTGTTCAGTTCCAAACATTCTAATGGTCCTTAATGGTTTTAGCAGTTAAATCACTATATCATTCTGAGAACATGCATGTGCACCGACTAGTATATAAATATAATCAACAAGTCCAACAGAATGAACTACCATGTTATTTTAAAAATGTTACATCTGGTACAGATTTGCTATGTGTTGACGTTTCTATGTTTTCCACAGTGAAGATTTTGTTCGAGTGTGCTTTGAATATAAGTGGGAAGAAAATTACATTATGTAAGCAAGACAACACACTGCATGTGCAAAAGTAGTTCCCAAGCAGACAGAATGCATGACTCTTTGGTTTTGCACAGGCTGATGTGATGCGATATAAAAAGTGTTCCTAATTTATGACTGCCATTTTCATAGATGCAGCACTGTGATATTTACAGGTTAGAAAGAATTCTCAGCTTGTTCAAGATATGCTGATTCTTGTGTTTGTGTTTCTGTTCATGCTTTTTAAGGTGTACAGATTTTTAATACACCCGGAACGAACTCATGTTATTGTTCACATTTTTCTATCTATATCTGTAATGATGCATGGTGGAGTGGTGTAAAACCATGTTATCTGGAAAAGGATTTATGGGGTGCTTCTGATATCTGTACTATGGAAAATACTTTGGAATGGTAACTGAGTGCTTATAGACCAGGGCTGCAGAACTTTAAGCCCAAGGCCAAAGCTGGCCTACCTTGAGGGGTCATCAACTAGTGATTCCTTCTTCCCCCTTCTCCATTCCCCATGCCCTGGCCCTGGCCTTTTTCCTAATCTCAGACTGCTTGGTGGTTCCCCCCATTCTAGAAGATGGAAGTGCCTCAATCTAAGGCTTATTCATTGGCATTAAGAGCTCTAAGGTATAATATACTTGCAACTTTGATATTTTGGCTCCACCTCCTTTGCTTTTGGCCCTGCTCCATTGTGACTGTGGCTCCACCCAGCTTTGAAATGTGTCCCCCTCATAACTTCAGCCTTTGGGTTGAAAGAGGTTCAACATCCTTGGGAGTCCATACTATACCCAGTATGAAAACAGCTCAAGAAAGAGTGTCATGATCTGCTTACTAGCATGCTATAGTGGTGTGATGTGAATGTATTGTTCATAGAAGTGAGAATACAAAAGTTTATACAAAAATAAATTTTCTGATGTTGAAAGCCATCTGAAGATGCCCTGATTCATGTCAGAAGAATGAGAGAGAGAGAGAGAGAGAGAGAGAGAGAGAGAGAGAGA